TATATATATATATGATAAACACCTTTTAGGACAACATTTGAAAAATATTAAAACCGATTGTCTTAAGGTCGGCGCAAGACGTATATGTAAAAAAAAACCAGAAGTACTAAAACAAGAACAACGTCCATATGATCTAAAAACTGGTTAAAATCTGCGCTGCAATGTATACAAAAAGATATAAAACTGATAGTGACGGTTTATATGTCAGCCTGTCCGGAGCCAGTGTATCTCCTTAAATTCGCCTTTTCCTATTTAGTTTGCTGATTATAGCTAACGTCTGCTATGAGAAATAACGAACAAAAATCCGTTCGTATATTTATAATTTATGAAGGATTCCACGTCGACTTCTGTTTTTTTGATACATAGACAGATCGTTCCTAATATCGCGTTTGTGCACGCCACTTTGATTCAAGACCGAGCCCAGGACAGATTGCGGAATTCCAGAATTGCTTAACAAAAATACTAAGAAGTAACACACACCACAGAGCGATGAGTTTTTGTGATTTACATACCTAAGGCAAATTATCTTAATATGAAGCAAATACTTGACATGTAGTCAAGAGATTATATTTTACGTAGCATCGGAAGGAAAGTACGAATCTAATATGAGTGTTTACGCATGTATACATCCTGACGTTCAAATGATAGGCGAAGGACACAGGCTCTTTTTTTACGAATTCTTTCACTGCCCCTGTCACAATAACATAAACTCTGGGCCACAGTTTTTATTGGCCTGTACGAGGCCTAATGGACAGGAGCTAGAGGACCTAGCCAAACGTATTAATCGCTGTGGTACCAGTGTTCATACTCATGATGTAACTGCAACCTAATGGTATTTGTACACTGCAACTGCCATGCCAAATGAACAGTCCAATTAGCGAAAGGTTTAATGAATAATTAATATTCATTAATCATCGGTAACCATTAAACATGCATGTTACAAAGCAAAAACGTGCAATCTTGCACTGTATCTATTATATTCCAAGCAATACACTGAACGCACTGCGTGCTCATGTCCTGTCACAATGAAAAAACACGTTTGAAAAAATTGCGAGTACGTGAATGAACAGGTGACAAGTAAGCAGATCGAGGCGGTCGTGTGTTTTGTGAATGACAAATGGTTATAATGCTTTAGAATTGTATGTTTCAGACTGAATGAGTCCTGAACCAAAAATATTAATCCTCGATGGATGAATAATAGATGTTGTAATATGGACCCATTAATAAGCTGGCTATAATAAATAGGGAAAACACCGTTTTTATTTATCGACGCATATATGTTTTTTACATTTTAAACTTGAGTGGAAAAGAGTCAACGATCAAAACTGGCGAATAAAGTAGTTAACACGTTGGAATCAGCTTTGAGGAACGGTACTCTCCGAATACGTATCTTGTCGCAGTCTTTGACTGTCACCAGCAACCCAGCGGAGTCCGCTCTAGTGCTTATGTGGTCAATCAGTGTTTACGATACAGATAGCCATTGGAGCCGCGAATCGGGAAGGATGCTGCATGTGATACGCATTTCGTTGGTGGATTATTCAAAAATAATTCGAGGCTGAATTTTTCTAAATTGTATTTTCCGCTTTGTTTTAGCATTCTTAGTAGTGGTGGTGCCGGCTATAGGGGTGTTTAAAACTGTTAATGGGCCACAATAGGCGAAGTTTTTGGCAACAGCAGCAGCAACAGTGTTTGTTTGGTGAGTAATATTCACTGAATTTTTCTTCGGGTGCAAATATCAAGAGAATATGCTTGTTGATGAATCGAACAATAATTCTGTTTGTAATTCTATCTATTAAGTCATTTATCTAAATGTATGGTTTGCTTTTACGTGTATTGTAGGTAGTATACAAAAGAGAAATCAAATATCGTATAGAGCTATTTGAATGAGCGACCTCCATAGCTTTAGAGTCTAAGGCTTTATGCTCTGAGTCAGTATTGCAACAGTAAACATACGACTGTACGTCAGATGGCTCCATTCGAAGCGATTGAAGCAAATATCGTTGCTGCATCAGTAATTTTCCTTTTTGTCTTCCCTCTACAAAGCACACGATTTTAACATTCAGAAAATGTCCATCTATAGCGTACGAAATGAGCCTTACTTTGATGATATCTGTCTTCGATCCATTGTAATGGCGATTTTTTTTGGGCCCTATCACAGGAACGCTAGTAACACATCAACTTAGGGGTGTCAAACGTTTTTTATAACTGAACAATTGGTTATTACAATATTCTGGTATAAAGCAATGAAATCCTCAGTCCTATATTCTGGGTAAATTCTGGGTATAGTATTTTAAGAGCTATTGATATTTTTCCTTACCGATATAGGTGAGCGTCAAGGATCGATTTTTGCGGCTATGTGCTACTGCATTATTCCATGTACCGTTCTGATCGGAGATATCTGGACTGATTTTAGTTAACATGGACTCCTATCATTGTATGTGAGAGCATGAGGTTTAACAATGGCAGTCTTGTAATATATATTGATAATGACATCACGTAGATTTTGAAACAAAAACTGAAGTGCATTTTATTTGTCTTCCGCCAAATATGCGTGAGTTTCGCGTCAAGACTTACTTAAAGACCTTCACTAAGGGCATCATTTTTAAGGTCAACGGAATATGCTTAGTGAGAAACACAGAAATACTATTAATAGATTTGCATGCAATGTTTATCTGTTTCTCAAGTCAATAGCTTCAAAGTGTGGCCCCTTATTCGTTTGCTTGATAATTTCTATGGCTACCTCCTTTGTATTGTTTACAGCTTTAGCAATAGCGAGTTAGTGGAACGTGGCTGTATAATGAATCTTAACGTTTTTAGCGTTCCTTACAGCCTGTGTAAAGGCACCAAAATTAATGTATTGTTACAAAGACAATATTTTCGGTACAAGCCTATGAATTTAGAAGTGTGGTAGAAAATTGTTGCTTTTAATGGAAATTGCCTTAGTTGAGGGCGTTTGAATCGGTTTTGTCTTGGACGACTATTTCCATGTTACAAAAGTATTTGCCACAGCTTCGAACGAAAGAAAAAAACGTCGCTGTGGTTTATGCCTTATCAAGTATGACATACGTACAAAGCGTATGCTTCCCTTGTGTTGATAACACATGTAAA